AATTCGACGTTCAAAACTCCTGAATTGCGGACGGCCATCTCACAGAAAGGTCAAAGATACAGGGGTCAGGGATATCAATCAAGGAACAGATTGAAGAGACGACGCATAATTAGATTTAACTCCGTCTTCTCATCAAATTTACAACATGTTAGCTCAAACTAACAACACTGCAGTACAGACAGGCCGCCCTTAACATTATATAAAGACTGGCTTGGGAACTCAGTGTAGTCATAGCTAATCCCACCATTTACCCGCGGGTTGACGAAAATAACGATTTTAGCTATTTTTCCCTTTGGACCCGTTCAACTTATAATCTCAAAAATATGAGGCAAATCGGTCCAGGGGTTCCTGAGTAATGTTCGCCCTAACAAACAAAAAGGCAGGCAGAAAGACAAACATAGATTAAATCTTTATATAAAGATACCATAAAACTATAAGATCGTTGCATTTTTGCAATAATTTTGTATTCGCTACAACCAAAACCTCAATCTAGCAATACACATCTTGCTTGTACCCAACAATCCGACTGGCGATATTATGGTGGATTCTCATTTGAACTACTCCCGTTTGAACTATTGTTCGTTTGAACTATTGCTCATTTAAACTATTTTTCTACCATGAATTCATTTTTTAAATTTTTTAATAATTATGAAGTTAAAGGGACCATACAATTAATTAGATAACATTATACACAGAAATGTTTCAAATGAACATAAAAATATAGTTCAAATATTCAAAAAATAGTTCAAATGAACATAAAAATAGTTCAAATGAACATAAAAATAGTTCAAATGAACAATACAATAGTTAAAATGAAATAGTTCAAATGAAAAAAAAATTCAAATGAGAAAAAATTGGTTAAATGAAAAATAGGGGTTCTGTCCTAGAGAACGATTTTTAGACCCCCTCCTATCAATTTTGTACATGACCATTTTTTTTTCATCAAATTTATTAATATTTATTTATTATTATTTTAGGGTTAGGTTATAGGTTAAGCTAATTTTTGGGCCGAGCGCTGCGACTAGGACAGACTAGGGGGCCGAGCGCTGCTGCCAGTTAAGACCTCTATAATTCAATTTTTTAAAATTAAATTAGTGTATATTTAGGGTTAGGTTAGGTTAAGCTCATTTATGGGCCGAGCGCTGCGGCCATGGTTTGGGCCGAGCGCCATTTTTTTCCATTTGAACTATTATTTTGCCCTGCATTTGAATAATTTTTATTTACATTTGAACTATTTTTATGTCCATTTGAACTATTTTTATCTCCATTTGAACTATTTTTTTGTTCATTAGAACTATTTAGTTGTTCATTTGAACTATTTTTACGTCCATTTGAACTATTTTTATGTCCGTTTGAACTATTTTAATGTTCGTTTAAACTAGTTTCTTATCATTTATAATATTAATAGTTCAAATGATTCAAATGAAATGAAAAATAGTTCAAATGAGCAATATATTTACTCGTTTGAACTATTGTTCATTTGAACTACTGCACGTGGTACCACGTGCAATAGTTCAAACGAACATTAGTTCAAACGGGAGTAGTTTAAATGAACAATAGTTCAAACGGGAGTAGTTTAAATGAAAAATAGTTCAAACGGGAATAGTTTAAACGAACAATATAGTTCAAACGGGAGTAGTTTAAATGGGATAGCATCGATATTATATTACATAGTTTTCTGTAAAGATGAGCACGGTAGTTTTTTTTTCAATTGTTCATCGTAAACAACCCTTTTTATTCTTTTTTTTATCGGTTAAAAAAGGATTTCATTTGTTCCCAGAATTATTGAACATTGTCCATCTATTTCGTTTGTTTTCCACTGCATGATCGTTCAGCAAAATCATTCTTTAAAAATCCTTTTGTTTTTTAAAAGTTTGTTCAATAAAATTGCTTGTTCAGTTAAAAATAATACGCAAGATTTTTTCTAAATTTTACGGAAAATTTGTTTGTTCAGTAAAAACACAAACTATAAATTGTTTGTGTAATTTTAAATCGTTGTTTTTCGTTTTAAAAACCCTAGTTTTTTATTTCTCTAAACGATCAATATCGTTTGTCCATCGTTCATTTTTCGTTTGTTCACCAAAACGATACCCATCTCTAGGTATCGGAGGTCATTATGTTTAATAAGATATCTTGCAACCCTGTCAAAATTGAGATAAAGAACAGGGTGAAATACAAATTGGTTAGGTTTTATGAAGTATGTGGGTCCATGAGACATCTATATCAAGTTATGGTGTGTGTGCGAACCTTGCCCAATCAGGTGGTGGTGAAAACATTTTCTGAACAAATTCCCATATTCATATACAGGGTTACCCACAAAGGATGAGCCCTCAATGACGACCAAAAGTTCTAAGGATTGAACATGGGCTTTTGCCTTATAATAAAGTTGTTATATGATATACTAAAGGTTTGGCAAAGAAAAGAACTAGTTTACAGCTGTAGGAAACCTTGAATTTTAGAAAATTGATTGAATAAATTCTTTACAGTCGTCTCTGAAGTCTCATCCTTTGTGGGTAACCCAGTATGTACGGCGTGTGCTACTATGACTCAATGATCAAAACAACAATGAAAACCATTGTGCCCAAATGAGCTGGGTTACTCTTAATGCGATCAAATGTACGAAAAATGTCGTCTTCTAAGATAGATAGACCGATAAAAACCTAATATGACGTCACTGATTATGGAAGTGACGTCATATTAGGTTTTTATCTATCTATCTGTGGAGATGATATTTTCCGTACATTGTAGCGCTTCGAGAGTAAACAACCTTGATTGTGCAGTACAACCCTGGTATCGGAATATTTCTGGTAAATATGAAGTAAGTATGAAGTAACCTTACTTGACAGTCTTTATTAGACTTTTAGAAACATTTGAAACTGCATGCCATTCCTCTGCAATATTCAACTTCCATACATGTCAATAAATAATGTTCATGTTGGGAGGTTTTGACATGCTAATATATTAAAGATTTCTGAGTCTAATTCACAATTATGATTATAGTTGATCATTAATTATCCTGATTTTGTTAACTTTTACATAGCTTCACGCCCCTGTTCTAATAACAATTTTATCTACTAACCGTTGCTCTTCACGCTGCCATTGCACTTTGAAAATAAATATTTTGCGTATTTTTCTGTTTATATTTCTTTCGGGCAACATTTTTTATGTTTACCTATGACATAAACCTTTTCTAGGATAATGTCGACACCAAAAAAAATTTGGCCCGACCGATTCAGCCGTTTTGACATTTATTGGTCACAAAAAACAGACAGACAGACAAGTTGAGTATTGACAGATATGGGGCAGAAATGTTATCTGCAGCCTCAAGGTAAGGTATCCCAGTTAAACATTTAACACCGAAAACTACTGGTCTTGGTATTTCCAAATTGTGGTCTACCATTGTTGCACCTTGAAAATTGACGGTGATATTTATATATTTGTCTTTTTTCTAATTTATTAAATAACAACAAAATTGTTAAAATGTTTAATGTCAAATTTTAAGATACAAAAAAGGGAGACCATTTTTCAGAAAGCTTATACAACTTTAAACTTTTTTTGAGACAATCTTTGTCATTTATCAATTATTGGAAAGTCGTCTTTTAATTTTTAAGTTTATGGGGACACCCTGTATTTACTACATGGATCAATATATTTTGAAGCGGCTATAGGTCACTGTCCTACATTTTGACATTTGACGTTCACACCTCTTTTTCTGGATAAATGGAAGCCAAAAGCGACCTCAGATCCCCAAATAAAATTGATCCGTGTTGATAACAAGAATAATAGTTAATTCCAATGGTTTGATTAAATAAATTCTTTAAATTCTGTCGGCGAGCGAGAGTAAATGTAAGCCGGCGCAACATTTGTTGTCAAACTGAGTTAAATTGCTCTTTGGCCTGTATTTTTTAATACACATTTGGGAGACAACAAATTTTACATTTTAGAAATTTTTTAAAAATTTACTTTCTAACACGGGGTTCATGTTAAATTAACAAATAGTTGTTTCTTTGAGAGACACAAATGTCCATCTTCAAACTTGATTCTTTATTTCGTTAATCACGATAATTTTTACGACATCTATTTTACGAAAATGTGTGAAAATTTTGTTTCTGGTTCGATATATAATTGAGAATACAAATTACAAGTAAGACGACATTTATTCTGAGCCTGCCACAGTAATAGATCTTTAATTCATTTTATTCTTGTCAAGTCAAAATATTATTGGTGGAATTGACTTAACCCAGCATTAAAGGCTAAAAGTGGGCCTGAATCTTTCTATAAAAGGCCTCAGAGAAAAGGTATGAATTGTTGCAATTTGGGTTTCCAATGCAAGTGGATTTTACTTGCACGCAATTGCCAGCCCTGTAAAGTGTAAACTCCACGCAATTCCGCACAATTTCGCGCAATTCAAGAACAGTTGCGCGCAATTTCGTACAGTTGCGGGCAATTCCACGCAACGGAATTCCGATTACACTGTACAATGTTAAATGTTCATTTATGTTCAATGTTCAATGTACATTGTTCAATGTTCATTAATATTCATTAATGTTCATTAATGTTCAATGTTCAATGTTCATTAATGTTCAATGTTCTTTAATGTTCTTCAATGTTCAATGTTCAATGTTCAATGTTCAATGTTCAATGTTCAATGTTCAATGTTCAATGTTCATTGTTTATTTTTCAATGTTCAATGTTCAATGGTCAATGTTCAATGTTCAATGTTCAATGTTCAATGTTCAATGTTCAATGTTCAATGTTCAATGTTCAATGTTCAATGTTCAATGTTCAATGTTCAATGTTCAATGTTCAATGTTCAATGTTCAATGTTCAATGTTCAATGTTCAATGTTCAATTCAATGTTCAATGTTCAATGTTCAATGTTCAATGTTCAATGTTCAACATTTAAAAAGCAGCTCATTGAAAAAATCATACCGTTAAATAAATTCTTTAAATCAAACAAAATTAATGAGGGTGGGGCACATACGCCCCCCCCCTTCCACCTCCAGTCTGTTTATGATTAATAAATTAATCAAATCTAATTGATTTTAGTAAATAAGGTTTAAGAACTCTTTAACAAGTTTATTTAAGTTGTCCACTATTCTTTCTTCAATTCCTAAAACATACTTTATTTCAGATAAAAAAACACAAATTTTAAAAAATAATAAAATTTTTCTAGGTTTTTGTTAAATTTTGAAGCAGGAGCTGAATAAATAATTATAAATTGCGAACTATTTGATCATACAATTGTGTCCCAGGAAACATGACATGTAGCAAGACGATTTGAAAGTCGTCTTTGATCTTTGCATTTATTTGAAATTCAGTCGTCAACCTACTTTAACATCTTGGATTCTTCAAACATAAAATAAAATAAAATTATACCGTAAACAGGAAGTTTTGAAAAACTTCAGACTTTTTCAAATGCATTTTAAGGAAAGTTTTAAACAGTTTTTGTAAAAGATGATTAGTTGAAAAATAAAAAAGCATATTTTCCTGTTGTATTTCATGAAGTAGGGAATAGTATTCTTCACGTTCTTCACGCAACCTCTCTCCCTCCTGAACCATTATACAGGGTGTCCCTATAAACATGGGAATTCAATGACGACTTCTATATCGTCTTTGTTCGAAGCGGGATTTTATTTCGTAAATATGATTTTGTAGAATCACAGTTAAAACATTCAAACATTTCCAAAATGTGGTCTTCCATTTTTTCAACTTCAAAATTGATGGAGATATTAGGAAGTTTGTCCATATTCAAGATAATTAAAAATCAATAAAACGGTTTAAATGTTTAATATCTCCATCCATTTTAAAGATATAAAGAAGGTAGACCACATTTTGGAAATTTCATTAGACGTTCAATCTTTTTTGTTGCACTTTATGCCATTTAATTATTGGAAATCAAAGACGATATTCAAGTCGTCTCTTAATTCCCATGTTTATTGGGACACCCTGTAGCAAGGTTAATGATGCGTTTTCAAAATGTATAGCTAAAAGGGACTGTCTTAATGGCCCTCCATTTAATGAGGAACGTGCTCGATTAACAACTGTACCTTTTATATCTGAAAAATTATGTTGAAGATTTTTCTTGAAGTAGTAATCAGTTGAAGATTTTCACAAAGAAAAAAAAACATTTTAATCTTTCTTGATCTGACAAAGTACCGTTGTAAGTTGGGCTTGCCAAGTTTTTAGTCCCTCTAAGAACAATGCATAATCTCTTGCCATAAGTTTTACACTTTAAAATCAACAGTTTAATTTTTTCTCTTGAAAAATACAAAATATTTCGAAAATCAATATTTTCAAGTTAGTATCAAACCTTTCTTGCAACAGCTGTTATTTTCATCTGGTCTTCCAACTTTTCTTCAGCCTTTTTCTTAGCTTCCTTTACTCCGCTCACCAACTCTTTAAATAATAATTACATAAATTGACAACAAAAAAACCAATTTATTCATTCTTTCTACATTTCATAAATTTATCAAAAAAAAAATGTAGAGAAATATGCAAAGTTAACAATACCCAATTTACAACGGTATCCTTGAAACCTTAATCTATTCAAAAATGTAGAAGAAATCGTCGGAAAGGTTTTATTTCTGTGAGTTTCTTTTTTGCTTCTTATAAACAAGGTATACGCAAGTCACTTTCGCAGAGAAACCGCAAATGAAAATTAACAACTAAAAAAAACAAAAACAATGAATGATATCTATTTGATCAGCAAAAGTTTCAAGGGTACCATTGAAAGTCGGGCACTGCAATCTTTGCATAAAAGGTAACAGGACATTACGCTTACAGTCCCTTTATATCATCACGGTAACCACTCAAATACTTGTTTCATGACAACAAGAGAAAACTCAACCTTGTGATCGACATCAAAGCTTCTAGTATTAATTTGTCATGCATTAAAGTCATTTATTTACGATATATGGCAACCAAAATAGCAACTTTCAGATTGGAAAATTTTTATACGGTGGTAGGCGATTATACCAATACAATTTTAATTCTAATTTATCTCATGCTTTTAAACAGCATAGAAACACAAATAAATGGAAACAAAGAGAAGCTGTCAATTAAATAGGCTTCTCTTTAATTACTTGTAAACTTGTAAATCAAAAAAACTTTTCAACAATTAAAACTTTAATAGAAAGTCGTCTTTATTATATTGATATTTTCGCCTACCACCGTATTATAGTTTAGAAGGGTTGAAAAGTGCAAAGCATTTTCAAATGTTGATGTTTGAACTTTGAAAAATTGGCTAGAGGAACTTACTTGAAGTTGAAAAGAAAAAGAATAACTTTCGAACTTTTTTTCTGAAAATTAAGAAAAAATTGCTGCCAAATCTGAAATTTTAGATTTGAACTCCAATGTGTAATGGATCCACTCTGTACCTTCAATAGATCTGATAAACGCATATTTAGTGGATTGTGTTCCACTGCATTCACTCAGGTTATCCTGGATCGAAGTCAGCAGTTTAATCTCCTAAAAAATAAATCATTTGTTTAGTTTGTAATCCCCGTTTCACGCACAATTTTTCCCATCCCATTTTTTATTATAGTTTAACCCAGAACTTCGGAAACATCAAAAGAATGTATAAAATGTCGTCTTGATAATTTTTCAATGGGGTTCAAACTATTATACCTAAATCTCTGAAATTGTAAAATTAAATAAATAACCATATGCGTGAACAGTTTAAAGAGCTCCATTTACTTATTCAATCAAAAAATAAAATATCTCCAACATTCCATTATCAGAAGGTCCAGAAGACGACATTTTATAAATTCTTACGTGAATTGGTAATGGAATATAAAGAAATTAACATCAACAAATGGACGCTTAACAAAGACGACATTCTAAATATATTGCGGATTTACAGGATCTATTCAAGGATAAATAGATGAACGGGAAAAGTAAATATAAATTAAAATCATTATAAATCAATGCAATCTACAACTGATACAATGTTTGTAAATGAAAAGATTATCATGATAAAATATTCTACAGAATATATTCTTTTTGTCCATTCAACCATGAAACACACGACAAATGCATTTTAATAGGAGATTTGTGACGTAAAAACTAGTCACCCCCCCGGACCTTAAGAAAGAAGAAGATGGCTCTCCGTAAAGAGCGGATTAAGCACAAAAATATATCAAACTAAAAATAGTTCTAATTGCAATTCAAATTTCAATCAGAGTTTAAAATTGTAATCCCTTTTCATTTTACGGTAACATTCACTTTAATTATAATATTTACCTTCTCTATAAAGAACTTCTGTAAAGTAAGATTGTTGAACATATCGTAGAAATTCTGGGTTTCTGCGTGCTTTGTTGATATCTACGGTAAATTAACGGTTTGTTTTGAAATTATAAAGATATGAAGGGGAGAGCAAATGTATTTCACTGATGTGATTTAATGATTAAAAATTAAAGTTTTCTGACCTGATTATTAAGTTCTATAAACCGCTTCTGATATTGTGAAAGTTCTGGTTTAGATGGAGAACTATCAATCAATCTCTCTAGTTTGAAATTCTCCTGAGATAGCTTCGAGTAAACTTCTCTAAATTAATTCCATTGTTTATTTCGTTTAACATATTTTTCGCGTTTTCGCATTGCTATAGAGATGAGAAAAATTTTAACATTTAGGGTAAAGGGTGTTTCATTATACATGGATATTAATTGAAGCCTTCTTTATCGTCGCTGTTTCACTCTGCATTATTTCGCAAACTCAACTTTTATCAAAACTTTTAACAACGAGATTTCCAGAATATGGCGTACTATTTACACCATCAAAATTGAAAGATTTTTAGAATTTAGTCTAGACGTAATTTATTAAATGAATTTGTTAAAGCGTTTAAATCTCCATCAATGTTTAAGATACACAGAAGGAGGACCACGTAAAGGCGTACAATCTGTTCTAATAAATACTTTGCCATTTTCTCTAAAAGTTTGATATCATTTCACTTTGAAAGATGCTTGTTTTGTAAGTAAATATTTTGAAAAGCCTTCTGAAAATTCAAAATTTTAAAGATAACCCCGAAAATAGAATATAACGTTTTTTGCATTCTCGTAAAAAAGAAAAAAACGAAAAAAGGAATAATTTTTACTTTTGGAGCAATGTTTTGAATATGTAGCTTGCAATCGTAAAAACATGAACTAGCCTAAAGAGCATTCAAGAAAAATTATAGATAACTATACATTATACAGGGTGTCCCAAAAAACATGTTCCGTGGAACATGTAATTTGTAATTTGCAATTTGTAATTGATCCTTACTTGAGGTTTTCAATTTTCCTCAGATCCCCATCCTTTTCTCCTGTTCCCTAGAGACAAACCATGATATAAGAATCAATCAATCAATCAGAGTCTTGGGGACTTCCATATGATGACCGAGATGAATCTAGTTAATCAGGAAAAAGATATGGACTTCTTACTCTGGGATAGGTCCCTCAATGAAAAAAGAAATTGCATTTAATTTAAGCTGCTATTTTCATTGTGTTTTTGACATTTTTTAGCTGAGACCTATCATAATGAGACATCTAACAATCTTATCCAATTATAGACCCAAATATTGTTCAATTACAGAGAAATCGCAATAATCATAATTAGCTTGCTTTCGCAACTTTCTATAAAGTTCAGAAACGATTTTAACAGGACGATTTTTTTCAACGATTTTGAAGTAAGAAAAATTAAAAAAATGACACAAATAAATATGCAGAAAAAAATGAAGTCATGAAAATTGGAGAAATCTAGAAGAATAAAAACTGAAAATGGGCACAATTGGAACTTTACACAAACCTGTACACCATCGAGAGATCTCATCTCAGTTCTAACTGCCTCATTTCTTTCCCGCATCAATTGAAGGTCGTCTTTACACTTCTCTCTGGATTAGAGTATAGCTAGTGAGTTTAACAAGAGCTGAGCTGAAAACTTAATAATTGGACCTTCAATCCGGACTGCAATTAATCTAAATATCCAATTTAATTTCCTCCTTAATTCGCTCTTTTCTCTCTTTTTGGATATCCGTCCTTTGTTTGACAAATGAGAGTTCAATCATTATGGCGCAAAAAAAAAAAATTAAAATTTCCTGGATTTTGTGATTGGCTGTTGTGGTTTCTCCAAATCCCACTCGATTGGTTGAGATATATACACTTTTTATATGAACCTAAGATTAAATCATTAAATTAATCTTGAAAATAATCTTCTGAATAACAAAAAGCGAATTAAGATCAAGGATTGATTTTGACATCCGAAATTCGTAGGTTTTCAGTTTCGGTCACAAGACCACTGGATATTTTAGTGTCACAAAAATCTTTTCTTTAAAGCTATTTATTTTTAACAAAAAGATTTAGAAAAAAGGGGGTTGAGGGGAGGATAAATTATTCTGATATTTCAGAGGAAACTGAAGTTATATAGCATAAATATGTGAAGTACACCTGCAGTATGGAAACAGTACAACAAAATGGCCGTTTTACACTTTTTTCGAGTAAATTCCTCTCTATATATTCTATTCTCTATGGATCTAACAGAATGCATAGTTTGAAATATGAAAAGTCTACAACACCGGGTTGCAAAGATATAGCTAGATTTAAAAACAAGAGTTTGGTCCAAGAACTCAGTTCCTTCGGTTTTGAATTCTAAATACACTTAGAAAACTTTCTTGTAACAGACCGATAACAAATGTATTGATTTATAACAATAATGTTTTAGACTCTTGTGTACGAAAGGCATCCTTCTTAATCATCCAAGGTTATCTGGTTTATAAGATGCTTCTCAAAAATGTTTATTAAATATTTCAAATTTAATTCTCTCCGAATTTTTACTTTTTTACATTTTGCAAAATTTTGGCTCTGGCAGAAATAATTGTATGAATTGTATTGAGTATGTTAAATAGGCCTATCATAGACAGGGTACTGCAATAGGTCTGGCAGCGCCATTAAAGTTGAAACCGGGCAACTTAGTCGGTACATGCCGCGCGTCACAATGACCGGTACAAGGGGTCGGGCCGGTTCGAATTCTGGTTAAACCACTCTGTTTTAAGACAACAAAACTAATGGACATAAAATAGGTTCCTGATTATGTCGGTGTTTATTTTCAGTTTCTCCTCTTTCTCTAAAAGCAAATATTTTTATCGTAATGTGGAAAAACTTGAAATTTAGAGAGTAGGATGTTTAAAGTGAATTAAATTTATGGACCGTGACTAACGAAGATTTTTAATATCTCATTCCTATTATACAACTGGATGAAAAGCCCGGCGTTAACCATGAATAAAAAAAAATCAAATTTGTTTAGCCTATGTTACCCCCAAGGTACCCATGTGTTCCCTCAAAAAAAAATCAGCCATTTTAATCCAACTGTTTGGCCAGCTATAGCTAACATACACATATATATCTATATAAATATGAGAGAAGAGCTTTATTATACAGAAGATCTAATTCCATACAAATCTAATTACATATAATGTCATTACATATCTAATTACAGATCAGTTTAGGTACGTTAAAAAACCGTATCCTTCATTCACTGGACCCGATAAACCATAAAACGGCTGAACCAATCGGACTAAACCTTTTTTTGGGACATCACATATTGTTGGCCAGTTAGGTTTAAAAATTAATCTGTAAAAGTATTTTTTCTCCTGAATTTAAAAGCCTTGGAAAATAATATATTAAAATTTCTAAAAAAATACCTTTAACACGAGCTTCAACCCGAACAAGATTATTTTTCAGTTTCTCTTTTTCAATCTGCATCTCTGAAACTCTAATCAAAAAATAAAATAGCAAATTTTCCGGAAGATTTAAATATTTGTACATGTACACTGTACAGGTTGTCCTTAAAACAATGCACAAGAATAATATTGCACGAATATAGAAAAGGTGATTTGGTAGTCTTTTTTTCACTTTTATGACTCTTAATAGAATGGCTCTAATATAAATCAAAAAACTTCTAAAGAATGATTTAGAAGAATATTAGGAGGACAGGGAGTGGAGGAGGGGTTAAGGGGGGGGGGTATATTTGTTGACGATAAAAACGAATTCAAGATTATTGATAGTGTTTTTAAATTATTATTTGTTAAAATTGAGCTATACAGTCTACACTCTACACACCTAAACTTTGTTTCAGCACTCCTTATTTTCTCCTTTAAGTCCACCATTTTTTTCAGCTTTTCTAAATAAATAAAACACATTTTTAAAAGATCAAAGTTTTAAAACACTATTAAACCTACCAATCATTTTGTTTTCTTTTGCAGCACTTTCCCAAGGTATTGATTTTATGTCATTTTTAGACGAAAAGAATCATTTGAGGTCATTTTGGGACGAAAAAAAAATCATAAATTTTTAGATTTCAAATTTGTTCAACCTTGCATTTCTTGAAGGAAAGGAAATGAGTTCTAGCCACACATTTTCTAATACCTACAGGGTGTCCCAAAAAACATGGGAATTCAGTGACGAATTCGATATCGTCTTTGTTATGAATTAGCATTGTAATACCTAATTTCATAAGCCATAATATTATTATGTCTGCTAGAGTTTATTTTATGAAAAGGGTAAAAGACTGTAAAGATGAGTCTATAATGTCTCCGCAAGATCAGTG